TCCTTCTACTTTATTCTGTCAAAAAGTGTTTCAGGGTAGCCCTGCAAAGAGTGGACTCATGAGGAGAGGGGAGCATTGTTTTTGATTTCCCAGGTAGTAACGCAGACCCTGCATCTTAGGTAAGCGCACTCATCAGTGGGTAGTAGAGAGGAGGGAAAAGAAAGCAGGCAAAGGTTTGTGGGACAGCAGTGCTCCACAGCACTTCAGCCCCTCCATGAAGGTACTGAAGGTCATCAGCCTTTAGATTTTGGCACCCCCAGTAAGCATAAAACAAATCTTAGACCCAGTTCAACTTTGCAGCTCCTCTATCAGCAGGAACAGCTGAAGGAGTTAACTGAGTACAGTGTCCAGTTCTGATCCCCACAGTTCAAAAAAGATGCAGGCAAGCTGGAGAGAAGGTCCAAAGGGAGGCCACAACGATGATCAAAGGACTGGAGAACCTGCCTTACGAGGACAGACTGAAGGAATTATGTCTGTTCTCCCTGGAGCAGAGAAGGCTCAGAAAGAACTCATTAACATATTCCAGTACTTAAAGGGCAGCTGCAAAGAAGATGGAGGCTCTCTTTCCACAAGGAGCCTCATGGAAAAGACAAGGTGCAACAGGCACAACTTGCATTGGGAGAGGTTTCATCTCGACATAAGAAACAATCCATCACTGGAACAAAATCCCATGGATGACTCCCTGTGACTGGAAGTTTTCAAGATGCAATTGGACATGGGGGTAGATGATCTCATCTAGACTTCATTTCCCATGGAAGGTTGGACTAGATGATCTTCTGAGGTCTCTTCCAACATGGGCTGTTCTGTGGTTCTATGAGTTTGATGAACAGGGAGTCTCTAAGCAGGCTTTGCTCCCGAGGAAAATGAGTGTGGAACAATACCTCAATATATCTGGCCTTCTGTGTTTCTTGCCTTGAGAGCATTGCAAATAGATAAAAGTAGTTTCTTCTTTAATCTGTCCTCATTGATCCTACAGCTTACAGAATCAGGTACTTGAGGGCACTTTATGAATGGAAAAGTCTCTTTATTTTCAAGAACCCACAATAAGAACAGTATAAACAGAAAGTTAGCTTGGAGTTTTCTGTGGGACAATTGAAGTAATGAAAAACCAATAAAAGCTAATTTTTTAAATTCCATATTTTGACTTTAAAGAGCTTCTCCAACTAATTGCAGTCTTATGGACTTTTACAAATAAGTTTCATTGTTTTACAAGCTGTTGCAATATGTGGTCTTCTCAAGCCTGGATGCTCTTTCTCATCACAGCACCAACAAAACAAAACAAAAAAAGGACTTGAGAGATGGTTTTCCTGTGCCAAACACCATGTTCCTTCTATCAAAACAGCTAACAACTTTCCTCTCGGATTCATATATAAATTTACTTCCAATTTGAAATATCTTCCTTTCAGAGGAAGATTGTCTTCTACCCTATGATTTATGCAAAACAGCATTGTGCTTTGAGACAAGGGAGGCACCAACAGCAAATGTCCATTAGTAGAATCAGCTTGCCAGCAAGGTTCCCTCTTCTTAGCTAGGACCCCACACTTTCAGCCTCTTATGCCTCTTTCCAGGTATGTGTGTTGAAGTAGCCCAAGTGTTCCTCTGCAGGATTATTCTCATTTGTTTTCTGAAAATAGTCTGTTTTCTGCAGATCGCTATATCTCTATCTGAGCCCTCTTATCGCTTCAGTGGAAAATTAGTCATTTGGAGGAAACATGAAATCAAGGAGATAGACAGGCGTGCTGTTTCAGCTCCTTGCCTCTACATTATCTTGAGGAGTTTTGGAGAGATTAATTGGAGTTCACAAACCCCGAGGCTGATGGAAGGTTAGGGTGTTGCCTGGGTCTCTCTCTCACCTAGGTCAGCTGCACTTCAGAATCTCCCTATGATGGGGCTTGTTTCTGATCAAATAAAAGTAAATTTGCCTCCAGTTTATTATTAGCATGAAATTCCCTTTTTGGTCCAATGCTTCCTAGCAACCTGAGTGCCTGTCAGTCAGTTTGCTTTTCATAAGTCTGCGGAAACAGAGTACTTGGTGAATTAACCGATATCCTTGAAAAGATAATGATAGGAGAAATGGCCAAGCCCATGAAAGGCAGAAGGCACTTTGCTATATTAACGTGATCCAAATCCAGAGTTCCAGGAGAGTGTGGGGTAACCAAGAAGGGGTACATGAGAGGGGAACTGACTGGGATGGTGCCACCCAGCGTGTCTCTGGCCTTGGTACCCTCCTCTTGGGCTGCAGCAAGGGGTGTTCAGTGCTGACATTCCTAACTCCCGTCCCCTTGGAGCTAAGTGTGTCACTGCTTTTCTTTAAAAATGAAGCAAGGAAAAGTGTTTTCCTTCAAAGCTCTGAACTGAGTTTGGGCACCTTTCTTCCTTCTTGGGATGTCAGTTCTTTCATTCAGCATCACCCACTCTCCTGGCTTGGCTCCTTTGGTTCTTGGGGAACCCAAACCTGCAGCTTCCAGAAGCCTTTCTTAGGTAGCAAGTTATAAGCTGTTTCAGGGACTCTTATTCCCTCCTGATGAAGTTGCTCCATTTTAATTGTGAGTGATGACAGACTAAGGAGGCCTGGAGGAAAGTACGCATGGCAGTGCACAACTGAGCAAGGGCTGAGGCACAACGGGGCAGAGCAGCTGCCTCTGCAAGCTATTTCTGTATCAAATAACCATTGCAGGGACTGGAGACCAGCTCTTTGCTCTCCCTATTCATAGTGCTAAATCACCAAGCCTGAGTTGTCTCTGTCTGCTCTGCCCAGCCCTGCCAGTGTTTAATTATGCCATCCGGGGCCCAACAGCTTCAATGGGAGAGAATGAACTCATCCCCCTCCCCTCCTAAAAAGCCTAGGGTCTGAGGTGTGCCTATCCCTGAGGAATGGGGTGTGTGAGGCTTGAAGCTTTGTGTGCTCAGAATCAAAACAAAATGGGTTTTCAATATGATTGGCTGTGGCCCTTGTGCATAAGGCAGAAGGGGGCTGGCCCCTCATCCTGCTGTTTTCAGTGCTTCCTTCTCACAGTGCTCTTCCTGAGCATGCCTGTGGCACAGGGCCTCCACTGCGAGGCACAGAGTGGGATACTAAATTCGTTCACTGGGACAGGAGGCAAGTATGGCCTCAAAACTGTCCCTTCCTAAGGACTTAAGACAACACATCATAAAATCTGGACATTTAGAAATCCCCCCATACTCCCATGCTGTCCTACTAGACTTTTTAAGAGCTTTTTCTTCATTTTAGAAGCATTGGCCTCATGATGATGAAGACATTAACATATCTGTTATTTTTACAGGGATAGAAAAAATTGTACATTCTCAAACCTGTCTAAAACTATCATAAAATGACATTTTTCACATACTAAGAGTGGCACAGTCTCAGGATGTGATGTACTGACATGTACATACTCTTCTGACTTTGAGACTAGCTCACATAATTCACTTAGTTGTGATATCTGTGAGGGATGTACCTTTCCCACTTTCATTTTGGAATAACACAAATAACACTCCAGTCTGTATTTTGTATTTTACAGACATGTGCATAGCTTTTACTTAAGGTTACAAAATGTTATATTTTGTAATATACGCTAGCCCTGTGTAATTGGGCTAGTTCTCAATTGGGTGGCATAATCTTTGCCTCAAGTTCATTTTTTGTTTTATTGTCATGTTAGACTACTTTATTTTAATGAAAAAAAGAATTAAAGGGTCTCACAATAATTTCCTGAAATTATTTTCTTGCTCATTTTAAAAGCAGGTGGTTTTGTAGAGCTGTGATGCCTCTGTCTTACTGAGTAAAGATTTCAGATTTCCTACAGGGATAATATTGAGTGCTATTATGAACACTGTGAAAAAGCCTGGAGCATTGGTTAGTTCATGAATCTTAAACAGTCATTGCTTACATAGGGGTAGGATTTGTAAAGGATTTTTTCTTAAAATGTCTGAACCTTTCCTTAGTCCTTAATTTACTTCCCAGGCTCACACACATTGTCAGAAAGGCAGGTGAGAGAAAAATTGATGCCCATACTGTTCTGTTTCCCCATCCATTTGAGCTTGTGGGAAAGATGCTCTCCAGGGAAATCCAGGAGCTCCCTTATGCCCACCAAAAGCTTGTAGGTTTTACAGCCCTTCCCTGGACCTTGGCCTTATAAACACGCCTTGAAAGACAAGCAAGTGCCCTGCCCCCATTTTACAGATGGTTTAACAGATGTTGGCAAGTATCATTAGAAAAAGAGCTCGGGATTAAGTGTATGTCCACAGCATAGTCCTAAAAACCAGGTGGCCTTGCAGAACAGTCTCGTCATGCCCAGATATCTGCTCCTGCTGCTTGAAACTGGAGGGTCCCACCTGGGGCAGGGAGCAGGGAGCAGGAGCTGGGACCTTTGCTCCCCTTTGCCACAGGTGCACCCTGGCTCCCAGCCCTGCCTCCAGGGTCAGCAGTCCTCCTTCACTGCCAGGAGGGTTTGCTCAGCCTTTCCATGTCTGATGCCAGTTGTGCTGGTTAGCCAGGGTCTGCAATATTTCTAGGGTTTTCTTTAAAGAAACGAAAGCTACAAAAATTTATTTCAAAAGTTACTTGAAGAGAGTATTTAGTCACAGATTCGAGTAGGAGTGTCTTGGAAGTACTTGATTTAAAGCTGTCCAACAAGTATTAGCTCACTTGTGCTGCTTCTTCTACTCATTTCCTTATCCTGCTCAGGGAACAGCATGGGCAACAAATAAGATGAAATAATCATGTTCCCTGGCTATAGTTGCAACCCAGATAAAAATTCATATCGTTCCAATGTAATGGCAGGCAGGAATAGAATATTTAATACCTTTAAGGACAACATTTGTATTGCACAGATCATGGTTACTCTGATAACTCCCAAAGTTTTTATATTTGCATTGGCAGCCCGACATTTTTCTAATTTTATTTTTGTGTATGCAGCCTGTACATATGAAATGCCCCTATTTTCCCTGTTTTCCCTGTTGGTTAATAGGTTGGCTTATGCTAGTGATTTGCAATATTACAGGCAAGAGAGGATGTGATCCACATGCTGAAGACAGAGAAAACCAAACCTGAAGTTTTAGAAGCTCATTATGGGTCTGCAGCTCCAGAGAATGTGCTCCGAGTGCTACACAGGGATGCCATCCTTGCCCAAGAAAAGTCTATAGGGGAAGATGTCTATGAAAAACCAATTTCAGAGGTAATTGATTTACAACATTATGTCTGTGCAGGGGGAATCCTAACCAGAAGTGAGACTCCACATATTCTGAGCGTGTGCAAAGCACTCAAGAGGATAAAACAGAATTTGTACAATGACAAGAAATCAAAGAAAGTCTTGTTCACTCAAATGCAGAATAATTTGTAAGTGAAGTCACTGGATTTGAACACAACCCATAAAGAGGTTGTATGATTCTTAGGGCTGGTGCTGTTAAGCAAGACCAAAATCTTTGGGTGTTACCTTCTGGTTTTTAAATTCCTTTCAATTATAGGCTTCAACCTCTATTGCTCACAGCACTGGTACGAACTCTTTGATTTTCTTGGCATACAAGACCACTATCATGTGGGTAGTTAAGAAAAGAAGACCTTTGGAGATTGACAATATTTATGGGATCATAAATCTGTATTCACTTTACGTCACTTAAGCTCTAGAACTCCAAAGTCAGTTCAGCCCCTAAAAGAGACTTATAGGACTTGATCCCTTGCTTTAAAATATAAGCAATAAATGAATGTGGAATAGACCTGGGAATGTCTAAGGCCAGTGTGAACGCCAAAATAAATAGCCACTGCTCGTGTTTATAGTTTCATAACAGTCCAGGGCATGGAGAAAGAGCATGCAACAACATACTGTAGTGGTTGCCCAAATCTTCACAGTTCCTCCTATTAGAACATTTAATTTGTTTACCAGGAATTGTGTCTACCATGAGATATCTTTATACTGTTTATTCTCATTGAAGCATCTCCTGGAATCTTGGGGATGTCAGTAAATAAGGAAAACAAACCAACCTTAGCATGTGGAAGCACACAAAAAATATTGTCAAACAAGATTAGAAGGGCTTAGCAAGGCCTTTTTCTAAAGAAGCTGATAATTTGACAGGGACCTCAGTGAAAAAAGTAAAACTTTGTCACGTGTAGGTTCACAAGGGTTATGTAGAAACTAAAACAGAATGGTGACAAAATTAAGTGCAAAAGATCTACTCTCAAAAGATCAGCCAAACCTGTCTCCTCTATAAAATGCAATGACTGTTTGACTGCTATGGTCAGTTTCTGGAGATCAAATTGCCAGAGTCCTCCTGCTTTCCTACTTCCCTTAGTTTGCTGAGGCACCCTGTGAAACAACTGTCCAGTGCATCTGGGGCCAAGGAAGATGGTAAGGGCTGGAGGTGCGCAGATGTCTCAGCCAGACATTCTGCCAGGGGCAGGCAAGCAGAGAAGTACCAGGGCTGTGGGCTGCTTTGTCAAGGACGAGGATGGAGATTTTTATCTGCACCCAAGAACCAGCAAAAGGAGCAACATGAATAGCCATGGTGTGTTTGGAGTGCCCTAGCATCTTTTTAGATACACCTTCCTGGTCTTAGTGTTTGTTTGAATAACAACTGGCAAATTAAATTAATAAAAAAAATTACAGAAGGCAAAAAAGGTAAAGTGTTGCAAATAAAGAAAGATAATTTCTATCAAAAAACAGGCTGAGGGGAAAACCCTAAGGCTTATAATGAATTGTATTTGGTAATGTAAAACTGAATCTGTACTGAATCTAAATAGATTTATCTCAGCAGTTGTACAGGTGTGTTGAAGATGCATAACTCAAATTTCAGCCTTGAGATTACACTTTATGCTCCACATGTAGGCGTCTAGTCCCCCTATAGGTGTGTGAACTCAGGCTCCCAGAGTCAGAGGTCTCAGCTACAGCTTTTCCTGTGTGAAATGAAAAAAGTGTGCACAGCACCTCATCACAGGGGACATTCTGCACTGCAACAAATTTGTTACCCTAAAACTAAGTGAAGTTCTGCCTTTTGTGTATGTGAAAACTGTGCAAGTGTTTATTGCTAATATGTCATCCAGATAAATCATTACTTTCACAGGACAGTTATTCTTATTTCTAGTTACTGCTTTACATATAGCTCAAGATGTAAAACTGTGGGACTCACATTTACCAAACAGAACACTGTTGGTTAATAAATCAGATGAAGTAATCAAGGAGACCTTTAAAACAGTCTGTTCTCATCTCCTACAATCCAGCTAGACAGACTTGAAGAAAAGCAGAAAGAGACGTATCGGCGCATGCTGGAACAGCTCCTGTTGGCAGAAAAGTGCCATCGTCGCACAGTTTATGAGCTAGAAAATGAGAAACATAAACATACAGATTACATGAACAAGAGCGATGACTTTACTAATCTCCTGGAACAGGAGCGGGAGAGGTGAGTACCTGAGACAGTGCAAAGACTATACCCAGTGTCCCAGTGTTTGTCAGTTCAGCAGTGATTTGTTCTGGTATTTTCTGTGTTCAAATGACACTAAACTCACGTGTAAACCATTTGAAAATGTCAATCTACTCATGTTATTAGTAAGTACATTACTGTGCAAGTCTAGAGCTGGAGGAATACCATTGAATGTTCCTGTAGTGTGCACTTGAATTAAGAAATGGATTTGTTTTGAATTAGTCATGCCCGTTTTGGGTTCACCTCCAGGTAGCTTTTGATCAGATGTTATTTATGTTGGCTAAGTTTGGGACTGGCTTGCTTAGCTAAGTGCTACGTTTCATGAAAGTCAGAGAACTGTTGTCACAGCAGGAGGACAGGGTAAGGAAAACCACAACACATATTAGGATACTAGCACACAAGTGGTGGGACTTTGCCATGCCATGCCCTTCACATTTAGGCTTGAAAAGTCACAAACCATTTGCATTCTTTTTAATATCTTTGAAGACACATGCCTCAGGCAGGTTCTCTGTTCCTGTGGAAGAAAATATTTTCATGTTTTACAAAATGTGCCTAGCCTGTGGTATCTGCAGTGTTTATCTCACAGTCTATACACTCAAGATTGTTTTTTCCAAGTGTTTATCCTGCTTGAGGGAAGAGTCTCTGTGTCTCTAAGAAAAGAAAGATAACTACCTTAGGTGAAGATTCAGCACTCAGTTTTTCAATGTGAAATTTTCATGCTCATACCAAATTGCTTGAAATCAATACATGATGTTGTGTTTCTTTTTTTTTTTTTAAAAAAAAAACAAGCTCTGAGAAAAACACTTAAGGCAAGTTCAAAGAAGCAATGCTGTTGAGGAAACCACAGGCTTCTGGCAGACATTTGCAAAAAGCTAGGAGTGAAATTGTTTGGTGTATTTCTTGAGCTCAGTTCAGCACCAGCTTTGAGTAGGTGGCACATGAGCTACAGTGACCATATTTCCTGGTTTAATAGCTGTTATTTTTCTGTCTCTATTTTCCTGCGTTGATTGGCAAACGTTAAAGGAAAAAAATGCTTCTGTATCCTAGCAATTTGATTCTCATAGTAGAAAATAAAAAATGTGTTGTATTTCCAAGTAAAGAGCAATTTCACATCTGATTCTCATAGCTGCCATTTTCTCTCTATGCTGAATATCCACGTATGTGTGGACATGCAGCCACTAAAATGCTACAAAAGTAAAAGTGGTATTAAAATACCATTTACATTTGTCTTTACATTTTATATTCACATTAATTTGACAGTTGTTGCTCTCTTATTATTCCCTCTCAATTTGTGAAGGCCACTAAATAGCCTAAGATTATGAGGTGGTTTGAACTGACTTCCTTCAATGAAGTGATTACAAGGATTTTCGCCTTACATTACTACTGCTATCAAGCTATCAAGTCTCATCTCTGTGGGCTTTTTCTCTTACCCTTTCTGCTCTTTCAAACTTCAGGTTTTCTCCATTTTATCATTTTTGAAAAAACAGCAATAAAAAAAGGAGAATTTGAGCTTGAATTTCTCCTGAAAGCAGATCTTTAAGAGCAACTAAGCCTGCTGGCTTCAGTCACCAATGCCTCTGTACTGGTGGCTGCAGGGGAATAATTGCAGTGCTGAAACCCTGTTGATTTATGTTAAGTAAACAAGAAACCTGATGTTTGCTATTTAATCCACTTTGTTTGTCTATGGCACTAGTGAGAAAATTAGCTTCAAGTCAGCAGCCACCAAGCACAGAGGATATGGCATTTAGCTAAACACAGAAAACCAAGATGCACCTCCCTCCCTCTTCTGGGAATCCTCCTCCCAGATCACTCACAGAGCAGATTAGCAAAATCAGCATGGGTTGTAAACCACTTATTATAATATAGTCTTAAACAATCCCAATTCCTCACCTTTGCTTGCTGAGTGCACATGAAACTGAGGCTGCACCCACATCTTTGTAAGTATTAAAAACTAGAAGTAGTATTGTTTGAGGGCTATATTCACAAAGAAAGAAAGAGCAATGGGGTGACTTCTTAAGAAAGCCCCAAAGTGACAATAGATTTTGTCAAAAAGAAAGAGTTTGAAGCGTAAAGATTAAGTTGTAGTAGGATAAAACATACAAAAAACTCTCACCTAATCTGCATATTGGGACAGAGAATTGACCTGCTCAAAGGCATTTTTCAAGGTCCTGCACAGGCATTCTAGTTTTATAAGTACCGCTATGTATATAATTCACTTTACTGTGGTGCTTTGAGGGTTATTTTATTAAGAACTGAACAGACTTGTAGTCTCCATGAAAACGAAAAGGGACACAGAGGTGAACTTTGCCCGTCAGCCACTCTGCTGCACTCACAGTTATAATGTTAATGAGACAGGGTGAGCCAGAAGAAGAACAGTGCTGTGGGATGGCCATCTCACAGCAGTCTGCTACAATGAGAGCAGTAATAATTCCTGTCCTGGATCTAAGTAATTTCAGTGATTTCTTTCCTCACAGTATTTTATCAACCTTTCCTAACCATTGTCCTCATCAACTTTTGCAGCCCACATCTGCTTTTGCTGTCTTGTGAAAGTTTGAACAAAGGAAAAAGAGGAATTCTCTAACAGCAGAAATATGCCTCAGTTCTAATGTATGTCTAGCACACTCGTAATGTATTTACTTTGGAATATTTTTTTACATACACTTTCATACATTATCTCTAATGCACCTACAACAACACGATATGAAAGCAAACCATTCCTACGAAGGGACTAATTGTTAGGTCAGCCTCACACAGGAAGGAAGTAACAAGAAAACATGATTTGTCAACAATAATTATGCATGAAAAGTATAAGCAAGTGGACATTGTACATTGGGATATTCAAAATGTGGACAGCTGGGAGGGTAAAGGGAGAAAGCTGGAGGGCCTCGCTGTTGGTATTGGCTCTGCAAAACCAAGTGCAACTGACCTGAAGAAAAATTGTGGAAAAAGTTGGCATGTTACAGGAAAAGAGTAGTGACAACCCTTTGCCAGATAGAGATGAAAGAAATCTGGTACTTTTAGTGGAAGGTGCTTCTGCAGATATGGTGGCTGAAGTGTTTTGCAAATTTCCCTATAGTATGCTATAATAATATCTAATGATGTTTGAAAGTTACAGACAGTATTTTCTATTTTTCTATGCGACTAAATTTCCCTTTTCAGTGCTTGCCCACCTCAGCTGCTGTTTCTGTAACATCCAGTTGTCCTTGGTCATCTCCTATCCCCAGGAATGCAAAAGCAGACATCTTCCTGGAGCCTCCTGAGGAGGCTGAAAAATAGAGAGAAGAGGTGGAGGCCCCTGGGCCCTCTCAGAGACCTTGGGTGGCAGATGGTGGGGTAAGGAGTCTCTGGTCTGACAGATGGAGAATGAGGGGTCTGGTCAGAACTGCACTGACAATGTGGCTTGCAGTGGACACCCGGAGAGCAGAAGAGTAGGCAGCAGCAGCAGCTTCAGGGATAAAATTAGTCTTCCTAGTGCAGAGAGCTGGTGGTCTGAGTTTGGGCTGAGCTGGCTGCAGCTAAACCAGCTATTGGTACTTCCCCAAAAATTCATGTGTAAAGCAGGATTAGCATGAAATGGTACTTGATTGTTCTCTGTTCTGCCTAGTCCCAGCCCTCTTGCCTTCCCCTTTAGGGAACTGAGATGGGTGGGGGGAATCTTTAGGATCAATTATAAACTTTTTTCATTTGATCAACAGGGCTTTTTGTTCTGGTGGAAAAGGGTAGAGTTCTGTGTAACCTTAACACTTTGACGTCTCGATTGACCTAGGAGACGAGCTTTAAAATGCTGACATTTTTAGAGGTGCTAATCTCTGAACAATTTGTCTTGTACCCTTCTTTTAATCCCGTTTGTTGACAGCACATTTTGCTGCTATTAAAAGCACTGGAAAGCTCCCATTGATTTTAACGGTTCAGAAACAGGCTTGCTGTGACAACCACTGCCATCCAGGACTGATTGAAGAAATAGCCTGAAAGACTTCAAAAATGGGGCAAAAGGGGAGTAGGGAGTTTCTTTTATAAGCACAGGAAGTGGGTTGCAGAATAGAGGGTGTGATATGGCAAAAAGGCTTTGTTGAAGCTCTGTTATGGGGGATCTGCTTGGTGAGTAGTTTGATCATTTCCACCACGACCCGTGAGACTGCTGAGACTCTGTCACCCCACCACGCAAGGTGTCAGTAAATATACACCCAGTGTCTAAGTGTTGTCTGTCCCAAAGCATTGATATTATGCTTAGCCATGTTTCATTGTAAGATTTAATTGAAGTGATGAGGATTTTAAATTGGTTCTTGCTTTCCATGCTGCTTCAAATTATTCTTTACAACCACAGTGACAGTGTTCCCAGTGCACTGAAGCATTTCATGTTTTCCTCAAGGCAAGGCTGAGGATTCAGTCTGTAGTTCCTAAGCATTGCCCTGCTAAATCTGGTTTTAGTTAAACCTTCTTTTTGAAGTACATGGTCATAATTAGATCTGCTTAGAGGAGACAGCAAGACTGTGACCCCAGATCTTTCCTCCAAAAAGTTTCCTGTCAGTCTTCATGTAAAATTGTCTCCTCTTTGCCTCCCCCATCGCAGCACCCCCAGCAAGGAATGCACTGGCAAGTCCCTCGGAGGTCTGTGATAATACATTCCTCTTGGCTTCGGTCATCCTGGCACAAAGATGCTCTTGGCTGCTCTGCTGCTGATGTAATTCTAGGCCTGGATCACCTGCAAAGGAAACTGATCCGTGAGCAATAAAGCATATAGCCGTCTTGAAATAAAAATGAGAGTGTTGATGTTAACAAGTTTTTAAAACACTTTTTTCCTTTTATGTCTTTCTGCTTTTATTAACAAACTTCCCCTTTTTCCTTTTCCCACAAGACGGCAGCACCAAGTCTTTCATTGGGAAGTGCTTGCCTTTTTGTTTCCCTCTATTTCATGGACCTAAGCAACTGCAAAGGCTGGAGTGTAATACAGCTTGGAGATTTTGTGTGTGTTACCTTTC